AATTAATGAAATATGCACTTTTTAGCTAAAATTGGCAAAATATGCAAAATATGCATTTAAATTTTAAATTTTTTAACTCGCAATTGTATATTTCAAATTTCTAGCTAGGTCTGCTATAAATTGAGATCATACAGAACAATATGCAATTCCTACAACTTCCGAGCCCTATTTATAATAAATATATATGTATACTTCTAGTTTTTAATATCTGTGCTAGGTACTGTAATGCCATTCAACTCTTGTTCATTTTTCTTTTAAATATTTACATTAGATTATCAAGCATTATGGTTAATGCAGARAGTTATTGCAGAATTAAATGATGTTTGTTTAAATCATGCTACTGTTATTCCATATCATAAACCTATATTAACTCCAGTCTGGTGGTCATCATTTGTGTTAAAAAATACAAGAAGACAAATGGAAGATTATATAACAGTTATTCCTTATTTCCATACGTTATTTGATGTTAAGGTATGTATTGTAAAAGTATGATAATAAATTATATGCATTACCTATATGTTTAAAAATACTAATAAGTAAATATCATTAAAAAAAAAATTTCAAATAACAAAAAAATGTTATAATTTCATCAACAAAATATCCAAATTATATGTATACTTATTAAAAATATATTCATCTTTAATATGATCAGCTAATTATTCAATACTATATTAAAAATATTAAAATTGTGTGTTAGGATTTTGGCGAAGCTTCTTTTTATGCAGTTTATGATGGACATAATGGTTTAGATGCTGCTGTTTATAGCTCAATGTATTTACATCAATTTTTAGTTCAGTCAACTCAGTATCCAACTAATCCAGAGTACGCACTGTATGAAGCATTTTTCACTACAGACAAAGGCTTTACACAAAAAACAGAAAAATATGTAAGTTTAATTTGATTTTATCTCAAAACACATCTAATAAACTTATTATTTATACGTTTTCATTCAGAATTTAGTAAGTGGTACAACTGCTGTATGTGCATTATATAGGCAACAAGAGAAGAAACTTTATGTGGCATGGGTCGGTGATTCAATTGCTACATTATGGACAAATGGAACGCCTTTATGTTTAGTAAACAAACACGTTCCTGAAAGATATGTATGTTATTAATAATTATATAATATACTTTTTTATGTATTTCCTTGTAACATTTTTAAAAATTTGGTTGGTTAAACAATAATAAATCATAGAACTTACAGTATTTTGCTAATAATTTATTTCTTTTTGAAATATTAATTTCAAAATTCTAATAAAAATTCTTATGTATTGATAGGCGACAGTGTCACAATAAAGTAAAAAATTTATGACAAAATCAAACTTTTCCAGAAATGTCTTAAGAACTTAATGCATATTTAATTAAATAGATTACTGATTAGGTATAGTAATGGTTATATTATTCTCAAAAAGCATACAATTGTTAATTGATAATCTAAGTAGTTACTAGTTACAGTTACCGACAACCAACAGGCACAGATAACGTGTCACAAATTAAATATAGTTATATATGTATCAAATTTAACTGTAGTGTATTTATAAGTGCATTTATTTTGATGATTATCTTATCCAGAAGCCATCTGTAATTATTGAATTTACTTTGTTATTAATTAGCATCGACCACTTAGTCTCTATGTGTAATTTGGGATCATACCTAACTATTAATGTAAAAYGATTTTCAGTGAATTAATTATTTTGTTACAAACCATGTGTACATCAATATGACATGAGTGCTATGAAATTTTGTTTTTTTAAAATTATTATTTGTTTTTGTTACAGCTATATTAATTTTTAAAATTGCTTAAAAATGTATTGATGTTATAAAACAGTGCAGAATGTAGATATAATATTTTATTCTATCATATGCCATTATATATTTCACATAAATAGCCATTTAGAGCCATATACTTAAAAATTAAATTAAAACATGTCAACAATAAACATTAATTAATTAACACATTAACAAACTGAGAAATACTGAATTCATCATCTTACCCTGTATTCCCCTATAGAGTATAATTTTTATTTATCATAATATTATATTATTGTTTATTATTATACTAAACATGTTGATATTTAAAAATTTATTTATTTTTTTTTATGTTTAATTTAGGATGAAACTCAAAGAATTGAGAATGAAGGAGGAATAGTATCGAAATGTCAAGGTATTTGGCGTGTAGATGGTCAGTTGGCAGTATCTAGAGCTATAGGTGAATCGCATAATATTTTTTAATTAACATAATATCTATACATAATCTATGTAATGTTACTGTATACTTAAGTACTATAAAATACAGTAAAAAATCTGTTGCGATAAAATTAAAAGAACAATATAAAACTTACTCTGTAAATTAAATAATTTAAATTTTTCTGCAAAAATAGAATTAAAGCTAATATTAGATGAACTAGCTTTTTGAACTTTAGTGTAGAAACTAAGTCTTATGCTACTCCTATGACGCCCAATTATGGGAATATGTGAAACTTTCTAATTAACACAAAACCCTATCTTTCTAACCAATAACACTCCTCTTAATAACATCGGTAAGTTATAGGAATTATTTCTGATCACTCTTGACTTTCAGATTTATATACATATAATCACTGTCTCTACAAGCATTAGTGACTCATCTTAATCATCTAATCCCCCTTATTAATGAACGTAATATAGATAATATTATTAATATTTCTAGCTTTAATGTATGTGATTTGTATAGTACATTTCAGTTTTTAGTACTTGAAAATTTGTTGTTTTTTAATAATGATAAATATAAAATAGTAACTAATAATACTACGTCTATGCATCTATAAATATAATATTATCTTTTATAATAATCATGTATTAGGACATCCGGATAAATATAAACTGGCGAGGTGGAGGGAGCCAAAGTAAAATATTTCTGATAATAGCTGTTACTATTTATTTATTTATTTATTWATGCCAATCAGCAATTACATAGTTGGTAATATAATATATATGTTGTAGGCCATTTGGCAGATTGGTTGGACTAGGCTCTTTGCAATGGGGTAGCCCTGTTTGCGAACTACTTGTTTTTTTTCCAAACTGCCTACTGTTTATCAGGTTTATTGCATACAGACTAACAGCACTTAGGCATTTTAAGAATTATGATCATTATAATACGATAATGACCATTTTATTTATTTTACATGTGAAGTTTAGTTTATTGAACTTAGAATATTGACTCAAACTTTAACCTCCAACTTATAAACTGTATCAATGACGTATTTCAACATTCTTGCGTGATACTAACTGAACAATTGCCTCATTATGATTTTTTTTTTTTTACTAAATATTTTGAATCACCCTATAATATTATTATTATATATATATATAATAATATTATATAATATCATATTTTTTAATCAGTCTATATTGTTTTTGCTCTGCTCACTGTTTTATTTTGTTCCTGGTATTTTAGCAGGTACTATTTCAGAAACAGCATCGTATGTTGTTGGAAGTTATAGTTTTAGTTAATATTCCAAGTTCAATAAACTTCACATGTAAAATAAGTAAAACGATTATTATCATATTATTAAGATTATAGTTCTTAAAATGTCCAAGTGCTGTTAGATGTATGCATTAAGCCTGAAAAAAAAGCCTAGCSAAATATGGATACCACAAAACTGTGCCATATTCTAGAATAGAGTGAACTAGAAAAAAGTAGAGGGAACAAAGGCAAGAGATGGACATAAATAGTCTAGTGTTGTGTTTTATAAAACCAAGTACTTTTAAAGCTCTACCAATAATTGTGTTAATATGATTATCAAAAAGAAGAGTAGGTGTAAAGTAAAACCCAAGATCTTTAACACCGAWTATGTGTTTAAGTTTAGAACCATTTAGAGAGTATTKGTGGATAAGAGGAACACGTCCTACTAAAGTTCTTAAAGTGGTGTAATTAGGATTTAGTGTTAGACCAACACGTTGGATCCACYTGCAGAAGAAATAAAGATCAGACTGTAGTTGGTAACAGTCAGAGAAAGAAGAGATTTTAAGATAAATTTTTATATCATCAGCGATCATAAAGACTTTTGAGATGGAAAGATAATTATTGATAGTGATAGTGAAGAGAATGAATAGAAGTGGACAGTAC